TATTATTATTATTATTATTATTATTATTATTATTATTATTATTATTACCTTATGATAGCATTCTTTTACTCTATCTCTCCATAACAGACTTTGTAGTGGACCTGTTATGAACAAGAAGAGATTTATATTCTTGAATAGATCAATTCATGGTACAAATTATATTAAATAGCTATTAAGTTAGTATGTTATAATGTTACTTGACAATATACAATTTTAATTTCATTATTATTCTATGATACAGTGTTTCACTTTTTAACTTCTATTTTAAGATGCCTCAGATTTGAGTACTTCAGCAAGCTTATTGAAGGAGATCTTTGACTCTGAAGAAGTTTATCATAAAAAATTAGAAGCTGAAGCCAAGGTAAGACATCTTTTGAAAACAAGTCCATTGACACTTGGCTTGAGCTTAATTCCATTGTCTCAAATTAATAAAGTATGGCCTGTTAGCATATTTCCTTTCTTGGCCAACATTTTGAAAGCCCAGTCAAAAAGGTGTACATTACGTCCAAATTACACTACAGATACTTTGTACCTCAAACTCTACACTTTATTACTTAATTATTAAGTTTATAAAATTGTCTGCAAAAGTCAGCTATTTTGTGTTTGTTTTTATTATAATTCAATTTGTGAATTGTTAGAAATTCATTTTGGACAAATTTGTCATTTCGCCTTACATATGACTAAACTAAGTCATTTAAAGATGATTTCAATGAATTATTTCTAAGATGAATATGCTGGGATGCCATATTAGGGGACTCTGCATGTTTATTAAAGAACATGCCCTTGAAGTAAAGTGAGATAACCCGGGCTGGATCTATCAATCGCACAAAGAGCAAATTAGACAATATATCACTATGTGTTAGAAGATGTTTGGAAATGAAGCTATTTGCTTTCAAGTGAAAGGGAATATTAGTTTCAATCTTTTACTAACATTTTGAGCCATTTGGCTGCAACCTCTTAGGGAAACGAGTCAGGAATAGGCATGTGTGGAGTTAAATGGCCATTTCTTTTTGGGGAAGGGGGGGGGGGCAGCCTCACGAGTCAGTAGTTTACTTAATATATAGGGAAAAACAAAGAGACAGTAGTTAAGGGAGTCCCATTTACCATGATGTTATGAATTATATAATAATTGTTTATGGGACTAAACGTATTTGAATTCACTGATATTTGTGGCAGGTGGATGCACTACAGTTAACGTTACTGGAAAAGGATAAATACATATCAAGTTTAGAATGGCAGTTAGTTGATTCTGAGGCCACCATTACATCAGTGCAAGCAGAGAGAGATCGTCTTGCTCTAGAACTTGACTGTGCTTTAGCTCGAGAACAAGATTCAGATCTCCAGGCACTTGGAGCTGTTGGAGACATATCAGGCTACAGTGATCCTTTAGAGCATGCCAATTATGGTTTGGTGGAGTCAGGATATGTGGACGACATGCCTGTTAGACGCGTCAGGAAGCAGCCTCGAAGACACCTCAGTGACTTGACTACTCGCGGGAACTCATATTTTGATGATTTTGGTGCAATCTTGGCTGGGCACATAAGCCTCTCTGACTATGACGTTCCAACATTAGCAGAAAAAGAATCTCGTGGACTTGGTAATCTTAAAAGAGCAACTAACTTCAGCAATATTAATAACCTAGATGAATTTGAGAAGTTTGATAAAAGGCCACCTCTGTCTCCTAAAGTACCGGGTTGGGAGAGTTTTGATGACTCAGAAGCAGGGCTGTCACCTGTGTTAAACAAAGACAAATGGCATGGGTTTAGTGATGTGAGTAACATCGAAGGAGATGAAGGCAATGAACCAAATGCTGATAACGAAGATATGTGGACATTTACTCCTGATAGTATCCTGAATGTGTCTACTGGTAGGTCAACTAGCCATTGATTCAGTACAAATTAGAATAATGTTCTTTTCTAACCTTCCATTTTTCAAACCTCCTGATCCCCTTGGTCCAACTCCCCTTGGAGTGTTGGACCCCCTTGGTCCGACACTCTAATTTTACCCCTGATACCTAGAACTACCCAATTTTGGAAACCAATTGTCATTTCCCGTAGAGGTTTGAAAAATAAGGATTTTACCATACTTATTAATCGTGTAACATTTTCATCTGTACGCCATTGTTCAAAGTTAATTAAATTAATTTCAAAGTTGATTTATGTTACCCCTTTGAGTTTAGCTCTCTGCACACATTCAATGCCTATGATATATATTTCTTGTCTTCTTGTATTTGAAAACATGACAGCCACGTAAACATGTAAATACTTGATTCTGTCCTTCGACTTGCGCAAAGCTTGTGGCTTTCCGCACAACTTTTCTTTTGGATCTACACTTTACTCATTTGTCACAATTTTCCAAAATATGGATGACTTCAGACGAGACTGTGCATGTAATATTTCAGAAGAAGAAATAATATTTCAGACGAAAACTTTGCCTTGCTCACTATCCTGACACACGTCATGTAACTTGAGAACTGAACATGTGTCAAGTTTTCCTCCTGTTTCGTATCATCTCATTCTGGTTAGATCAAGCTATAATGTCCACATTATCCAGTCAATTGAAGAATGTAATTATTAAACAATTATTCCATTTGCGTAGTCAGATACAAGATGATTATGGCAAACTTGGCACTAAATGCCTAGGTTGATATTTACCACCTGATGTCTAACATGGCTTACTGCAGGCTCTTAGCCAGAATTTAAGTGTGCTATAGTGCCTGCTCAAATGAGCAATTTATGGGGCAACTCATGAAAAGTAAAACAATTATCTTTCGAAAGTGGCCATCTGCAGGACGCCTAGACACCCATCTGGCTAAAAACCTGGGCTTATGTCATGTTCCAATCCCAAGTTACCACCCCCACCTCCCACCCCCCAAAGAAAAAATGTTGATTATTTTGGCTGGGTAGGATGGAAAGAATAAAGGGGTTGCGGGATGAATTGACAAGAAAGTTAAACTGTCCTAGACAACTGATTCTGATATGTATATGCAGTTAGCCACTGTAGTACATGGAAATATTAATTAAGTGTCTCTCATGTTTCAGGGGAAGAGTTGTGTAGCTTAACTACAGAGCCAAGCAACATTCGGAGGTTTTCAAAAGGCAGTAGTACAGTTCCTGAGAAAGACATACTTGACGACGGCAGCACTGCAGGTCAGCAAGTGGTCAGTGGAATATTGCCTGTTCAAAGAAGAGAGTCTCTGCCAGCTGAGAAGGCAAATGTTGAGGTTACTTTAGTTGGGCATCAGAAAACACCAAGTGAACCTATAGACACTAAGGACTCCTGTAATAATGACAAGCAGATGGCCACTGATATCAAAAATATGTCCAATAAGAGACTTGAGGAATATCACAAGTGGAAAGTGTCCGGTTGCAAGGGTGATCCACCAGCCAAACTCAAAATATCACAGTAAGCAGAAGTTGAATTCTTGTTTTATCACTTACTATAAACGTGTATCTAGGCGCACATGTACTGTCTGAAACTTGAGCATGAACAATTATCTTTAGGAAAGTAGTTTGTATTAAATGTTTCAGTTCCTTTTATTTAGTGGATAAGTGTAAAGTCTGTTTGTTGGAAAACATTCTTCATAAATTATAAAATTTGAGGTTGCAAGAAAGAAACTCAAAGGAACTGAAAAATTAATATTATGACTGAAGCCATGTGGCTGACTGGTACCAGTTCCTAAAGATACCTAGCATTTTATCACCACTTACCTGAACGTACGGTGTATAATCTTTCTCTTTTCACATTCTTAAGTAACGGTCCATATAAGAAAGATAGCACCACATGGCCAGGAATGCAAAAAGGTGCTAACTTTTGTGCAACTTTGCTACTGCTGTATCATACTTCTGATTGGCTCAATCAACAAACTCTACCAAAACTTCAGATAGCTGTATATATGTTTATCCGTAATTGATCAACTACCTTCTTTTCAACAAAACGGCTTCCAAGTCTATACCACAGTAATCCTATGTGGGGAACTTTGGAAAATTGGAAGCTTTTTGTCTTTGTTTACGACCATTGTGATTGGTTGAATGTTTTAACACAAAGGAAACTACCTTTCAAAATAGAGTTTAAATACATTTTATTTCATAAACCTGCTTTCCATTGGGTGATACATTCTCTGTATGAAAACACAACTGTTTCAATGTGGGGAAAGCGTATTGCCTCAGAAGTATAGAAAATGCTACAGTTCTTATCTGGATCATTACTTGATGCTTAATGCATTTGGCACTGAAAGCATATCTCTGAACAGACTGGTGTGTCCTTTTGGATTGGTTGATATTGAGATCTCAAACATACAATAAACTCAGAACCAAATGACAACAAGAGATCTTCAGAGAAGACTGTGGAGCCATTTACAAAGAGACGTGTCAGTTTGCTTGAGATTAAGATTTTAATTTTCTAGTCTTCAGTTTTTGGCCCGGTTGTTCAAGCTAACTAATCCATGATTCACACTTTTTCTGTTTACCTTTCTGTCATCCAGTTTTGATGTCAACTAATCTCAAACTCGAGACAGGATTAGCAATTACAACACTTTTGTATGTGGGAAATAAAACCTCAGTCAACGTTTAACCCTAGATAAAGTGTTAATTGGCTGTCAAACAAGCCGGGTCAGTTGAAATTTGTTCCTGCATGTTGCACACGAGAAGGTACAACATATTATTTCTAAAACATCTATTATTCTTTCCCTTTTTAGGTGCTGACCAAAGGATGCTAACAGTGAATTACATACTAGTAATTTTTGAAAGAGCTCGATACAAACATGACAATAAAATAATGTACAAGGTACCAATTTCATTGCATTACAGAGCTTAGTTGCATATTTCAGTACAAGAGGGGTTCAATTGATTGATAAATTAATTAATTAATATGTTAAACCACGGTTTATATGTTTTACAAGGCTATGAGCCTGTAAATTGACAAGCTGTTTGTAACTGTTAAAGTATGTAGTATGTTAAACTTTACAACAGTGCATGAGTAAACAATGCTACGTTACCTTAAAATTTATTTCTGTAATCTCTGCAGACTCTCTCTTTCTCGCCATTTTGTTATATTGATGAGCAAAGGGAAAGGCATGCAACCCTTGTTTTGCAATGCTATTCTAAACAGTTTTTTAATAGCTTGTGTTTAATTAGAGCAGTTTTCAATTGGCGGTCATAAACTCAAAACCAAAGGAATTACTCTGGCCAATCACAAACGACACGGACAATACAGTCAACCAATCAACTTGAAGTAATTACATGTAGCCGACGCCAAGCGCGGGAAAACATGTGCGAGTGAGTCACGAGTGGTTGTGGTTTTGCTTCTGATTGGATAAAAACGTGGCGCGAGTTTCCTTAAGCCAATCAAGTAGCAAAGAAAGTGCAAAACCAATTTCTTTCCACCACTAAAATGAAAACAGTTCTAATGCAAAGAAATTAATATTTAAGAAATTCTAGGTTTAAGAAATTCTAGATCAATTGCGAGTACATGACATCAGTTGATCTCTAAAACAGCTGTTGTGAACTATAAGTAAAATTAATATATATCGTTCTAAAAGAAATGAATCCTTACAGTGTTGATGAGATGAATGCCATGTTCAAAATCCCTAGTCTGGTTTGTCTGGTTGTGTTAAGAAATTAAATTATCCTCGAATCATTGCATGCTTTCAATACAGCGCTTATAAAAAACACAGACAGACATCTTCTATTGAATAGATGTACTGCATTTTCTAGCTGTTGGTTACATCTGTAACCACAGGGAATGTCTGTCAGGACAACTACGTGTGAAGTGAAATGGTTTGGGGAGAAAATGAGTTGTCACGTGTGCTTATTAAATAAGGGTGGTGTGAAACTGACATGAATTTAGCCATTGTAATGGACAAGTTCATTGATGAGATGGTTTCCTGTGCATTCAGATTGAAGGTAGAAACGTTCGGCAGGAGAACAGTCTGTTGGATGTTTGTTTTTTGTCAAGTCTTGCTTTAATCCTCTTCTGAAAAATGAAGTTGCTATAAGACATTGTAAGTTGTGTTTCTATCCTTAAGTATGAGCAGCAGTTTACTATAGGCATTTATCATTTCATTTAAAAAATGGACATTGCTAAGATGCAGTCTTAAAAACGGGGCAAGTGGAGTCGAAAATTAAATTTAAAATGTGTATATAGTAAGATAGAAATGCTATTTATTTAATATTATTTATTATTGTAATAAGTTTAAACAAGTGTTTTGTGTGTTGAGTGATTAAAAAATTAAACAAACTAGTAGTTTTAAGTGCGTTTTAATGTTACTCTCGACGCATTTTAACAGCAGTTGTACTTAATTCAAGACATCACGTGACACCGTGGAAAAAGATCTATTGTAGCAACTTCAAGGCAATCTGATTGGCTGACTTTAGATATTGGCCCTTATGCAGTTACAGGTCTTACTCGTGTAACAATCGTTTCAAGTTCTGCTTTCAACTTGCGCCCACGAGCATGACGAGAGGTAGATTGAACGGTTCAAAGAAACGCGTCTTTTGCGACTTGTTTCACAAACAAGTCCCAAGTTTCGTAAACACAAACTGAACACATCCAACTCGATATCAAGGGATTGCTTTCCTGTACTGTAGCTAATCGATTCAGCCACGGTACATCAAGCAGTCTGGTCGAGCCACAGTTCGTGTTTTTTCCCGTAAATAGTGTCCCCAGTTAGTTTTTTAAAGCTAAATACCATTGACACTGAATGGATTCTTTCATTCTTTCATTGGCCGTTTTTATGCTAGAGACGTTTAAGTTGTCTAGGCACCGTTAACGTAAGACGTAAAAGGTGTCTGGTATAAAGAAGAGACGCATTTAAAAACACGGCCTAACAAAAAAATATTTTCTTTTTCTATAAATGAAGACAGGGTTCTGTACTCGGAGGACACTGGAAACAAGCCACTTTTAGCGCGCCAATATACCAACAAATCTACTAACTGATAACGTGGCAGGCAGATAAGGGAGTCACGTTTTTATACCAGACAGGTTTAACGTCTCAAACGTTAAAGGCGACTGATAAGAGCGTC